TCCTAGCTCTGTGGACAAGTTACTTAACATCCTTGTGACTTCCCTTCCCATCAGCGAAATGGGCTCATAAATAATAGTGTCCCTCTTTTAGATTCATTGTGAGGGGTGAAAGATAAAAAAAAAAATTTAACCTGATGTGACACACACAAAATGCTGTCAAATAGTAATACTGAAAGGGAAACAATTACAAAATGATATGTTATGTAAGGCTAGGTCTAAATATCACCTTAAAAAAAATCCCTCCTCTGGACGCATCCCACATTCTGAACATCTTTTCTGGAGTGAGGTGGGGTGGCTAGGCTGTAGAGATAACGCAAAGGACCCAGACAAATGTGCCCATATATCCCTTCAAACTAGAGAGGAGGAAGGATGGAAGTAGAAGCCATTTCACTCAAAGTTTATACTCAAAGGAGACGCCGCCGGGCGCGCCTTGAATTGAGACAGAAAAACAGGGCCAAAGGCCTTCTGAGCACTGGGGGAGGAAATGCTAGGGGTTTTCCACCGCCCCCTTTCAGCAGGGACGTGAGCACAGGTTGGGGTTGCACACGGGCTCCGGAAAGGACGAACTTGAGAACTTGAGTAAAAAGGAACGGGCGGCGAGGGTGGGGGGGAGGGGGTTGGGGTGGCGAAGACCGATGATTGGGTTCTTGGAACAAAGGTGGTATCCTACCTTGGGAAAATTGGGAAAGGGCGGGCGGAGAAGCTGGGACACCGAGAGCAACCCGGCACCCCTTACCTCCGCGAGTTCTCGTGCCAAAGAGGGCGGTCCGGGCACTGCGCACGGACCGAAGTCTTGCTCACTGAACCTGCGCTGGGCGGGCGCCTCCAGGTGCGCTCAGCCCAGCGCGGCGGAGCGGACCGCGTGGATCCACCGAGCGCGGCGGGCGGAGTGCAAGGCCGGGGCGGGGCCTCTGCGCCCGGGCCGCCTCCTCTGGGTATAAACTAAACCGCGCGTTCCTGGATTCCAACCGGCCAGAGTACCTCTTCTTTGCCACTTGCTTTGGACTGCCTCACCTCGTCTCCGAATGGACCCCAACTGCTCCTGCTCCACTGGTAAGGGATCCCTGGCTCCGGGACGTCCGATGTCCCCTCCCCAATACCAAGAAGTGTCCCTGGGTTTAGAAGAGGGAGTATTTTGGGTGAGCTTCTGTAGTTAACCCAGCATGTGCTTTCTACCACAACTAGCGCCTTCACCTCCCATTAGAGCCTTCCCTTCCTCCTAGAGTCTTCCGTTTCAGAGGCAAGAGACCTGAGGCTCAAGGCTGCCCGGTCTCACATCATCCAGGTGTCACGAAGCCTCTGGGTCGGCTCCAGTGCTCTGTCCAGGCCTCCGTATTGCCTAGGCTGGGTGGGGGAGGGGATATTGCCCCTTCCCTTCCGAGCTCAGACAGAAGGTCCCGGCCATCAGATCCAGGCTTCCTGAATGGGCACCGGAGACTGGGCTCATCCTTGGGGGTAAATACAAGACAGTACATAGCCCTTTGCACCGAAGGGCAGAGCAGGGGGCTGGGGTGGGGGGTGGGGGAATGAGCCTTCTGTCTGTTCTGTGCTGGACGGGAGCTCCCAGGGCTGGTCCTGACCCAGGAGGATGGGGAGGGCCCTGCCATGTCTGCAGTGGCTCCTCCTCCCCCCTGCTCACCGCTGCCTTTCCCTCCCCAGCAGGCGGCTCCTGCAGCTGCGCCGGCTCCTGCACCTGCAAGGCCTGCAGATGTCTCTCCTGCAAGAAGAGTGAGTGTGGGGACTCCTCTGGAAACCCATGGAGGTGGTGGGTGGGGAGTGCTGCAGCTTGGGGGAGGGAGGGAACCCAGAATGGGTTCTGAGTGCATGGTTCTGGGGTCCTGGCCCTCTTTGCTGCTGGGCACCCACCTGTCACTGCTGCTTCTAACTTTCTGCCCTGTCCTGGGCTTAGATGGAGCCAGGCAGCCATTTCCTAGTAGGACTCAAATGCCAAAGGTCCTCCAAGCTGTCTTAGGGCATGTTTTTCTGCACTCAGGGTCCTCTGGGTCTGAGGGCTTTGCCGCAGGGTTGCTGTTGGGCAGGGAGGTGCCTGGGAAATGCATCGCTGACACCTGCTTTCCCCCATCTCTCCACAGGCTGCTGCTCCTGCTGCCCCGTGGGCTGTGCCAAGTGTGCCCAGGGCTGCATCTGCAAAGGAGCCTCAGACAAGTGCAGCTGTTGTGCCTGATGTCGGGGAGAGCCTGCTCCCGGGTATCATTGGAGGAATGTGGGCCAACCTGCATTTTATACAACTCTGACTTGATTGCTACATTCCCTTTCCTAGGAAATATGTGAATGGTAATAAAGATTGTTGACACTATTCTGATTCAGCTTTCTTTTCTATGCATTCGGAATAAGGGCTTTTGTGCCATCCAGGGCTGGTGTAGGAGACTGGATGAGAACTGTAGAGATGTGGCTACTAGAACAAAATGTTAATCCCTAATAAACTAAGTGTGCTGAGCAGATTCAGGGTCCCCTCCCTTCTCATGTCAAGGGTTGGTGGCTTCATTTTCCATCCTCTGATTGCTCTGAGTAACTTCAGTTCCTCATAGATTTTAGGCTTGATAGACTCTAAAGAAGTTGGACTCACACCCCTAGTTACCTACATCCCTACCTGGGAGTCTCAAACTCCCTGCACTGAAAGGCTAGTGTGAATTTTCTGGCTGTGGTTTCTATTTTCTATCTTCATAAACCTAAACGTTGGCAAAATAAAATTAAGTGAATTACTAATAAAAATTTACAAGGACACAAAATACAAAGTCCAATTATTGATTTGACAGATTTGAATAAATACATGGGGAACAGTAATACAAGAAAAATTTAACAAGTAACCATGTTTGTTCACCCGATACTAACACAGTATTGTAAATCAACTATAGTTCAGTTTAAAAAAGAAACGAACTACACATTTGTTCATCAAAGGTGTATGCTGAACACTGAAAACACTTTGGAGGTGTCCCATTATGTGGACCATCCATACCCGGAGTAGCTCCTCCCCACATCCCCACAGGGAGCATCCATCTCATCTGATCCAGTGCCAGAGACGGGAAACCTGCTACCCTTGAGAGCTCCCTGCAGTGAGTCGGCTCTAAGCTTCTGGAAGTTCCTTTAGGTCAGGCTGAACTCTGCTTTCAAAATCCAGCCCTTGGCTACTTGAAATCAGCAAAGTGGCTAGGAATTAGGAGGTAATGCCCAGTCATTTCCCACAATAGGGAATATACCTGGAAACTGGCTCCTGATGAAGGACTTCATGTCTCCCTGTGCAGGGCAGTGTCACTTTCTGCAGTTACGAAGTTGTGGCTGTGTGTGTTTGGAAAGAGAGGGGTGCTGAGTGACTTGTAAACAATGGCCATAGCTGGTCCCTGCCCCCTCCACCCCCACAACATTTGGAGTGATCTGCTATTTGATAAAGAGAAAGTCACATGGCCCAAGTGTCAGGACCACACTCACCCACAGGTATCCTGTGTGAAGAGGGGATTTCTAGAGCCAGCCTATGCTGGGGGCATAGGTGCTGGTTTCAGGCAGTCCTGGTTCACTTAGGCAGTGGCATTTCTGCCACATATCCTGAATGAGTTTCTCAAATCCTCTAAGTCTCCATTTCCTATAAAAAGGAGGTTGTATCTCTACCTGGTATTAAGTGATAGTGGCCTAGCTCCCCACTAGGGCTTAATAAACAGTGTCTATTATGATCCTTCAGTTCACTGTGACTTTGTTGGGACGGAATCTTGTTGAATCCCAAAAAGCTCTTGGGGAAAGGTGAGAGGTTAAAGTTTGATTGGAAATGTACTAATCCATTGCCAGGGGGAGTGTGGATGCCCTGCAACAGCCCCCTTGGGTATGATGCTGCCACACCATTTGGACAACCACAAATTCAATGCCCACCCTTCATATCACATGACCTACCCATAACAGAGTGAACTTGCAGGGGATGGAGGGATTCTGCCAATTACCCAGAGTTTAAGCAACCTGCCCAAGGGCACACAGATCGTAGTCAAGAGGTCTGAATCCATACTACAGCTGTCTTGCCTCCTTGCCAAAGGTAAATAATTACGAGGTCATATTATGCTGAGCCCTGCCTCTCATTATTCAGAGCTGGCAGGCTTGCTAGAGACAGGCTAGTTGTGCTAACCGCAGAAAAGATGGGAGACTGCAGTCCAAGAGGTCATGGCTATGATCTTCCCTTCCTTGGGGTCATCATGTTTCCGGAACCTCCATCCTGGAATGGGGTGGACTGGCTAGGTTCAGGAAAACCCCTAAAAGTTTAGAGCAAGAGCACCCGGAAAGACGTGCCCATCCATCCATTTCAGTCATGGAGAACAGAAGGAAGGATGGGAGGCAAAGGCCTGAGTGAGTTGGTCCTGGGGCTGTTAAGAGATAAATGTTAAGAGAGACGCTGCCTAAGGGCCCTTTGCTGGGACCAGGATAGGGAATGGTGGGGCAAGAGAGAGTGGAGAGCTTGGTGGTGAAGGTCACATCCAGCAGGGGGTTCTGCACACGACACACAGCTGCAGCTGTGCGTGGGATGTGAGCGCGAGACTAGGGTTGCACACTGGCTCCGGAAAGTGGCGAACCCGAAGATAACAGCGCGGGGGGCGGGGGTGAGGAAGATGGCAAAAACACGGAGGCTGGGTTCCCGGAAAAAGCCGGGAGCAGGGTGGCTACCATCCTCGGGGAAAACTGGGAGGGGGCGGGCAGGGAGGCTAGGACACCGCGTACTTCCCGGCAAACTGTCCCTCCCCGCGGGCCGGGGCCAAAGGCGGCCCTCGGTGTGCAGCGGCCCCAAGGGCACTGGAAGACTCGTGCGCTCGGCCCGCGCGGGGCTCACCGCCCCGCCCCGGGAGCTGTGGGCTGCGCGGGCGCGGAGCCTCCGGGCGGGTGCAGGCGGGGCGGGCCCTCTGCGCCCGGGCCGTCTCCTCCGGTTACAAACAGCGAGCGGGCTCCTCGACTCGACACGCCTCTCACCGGATGGGGTGTCTCTTCTTTGCCGCGTGCTTTTGCTCCAAATGGACCCCAACTGCTCCTGCCCCACTAGTAATAGACCCCTGGCTCTGGGCCTAGGGTGCCCCCTTCCCAGGCACTAGACAGATGTTCCGTGGGGTTAGACGACGGAGGGTTTTGAATTTGAGCTAAACTGGACGCCCAGGGTTCACCCAGAAGTGCTTTCTTCCTAGCCAGGATCGAGAGAGCGCAGCCCGCCCCCCCCGCCCCCCCCAGTCATGCGGTTTGTGGGATCTTAGTTCCTCCACCAGGGCTTGAACACCAGCCCTGAGCAGTGAGAGCAGGGGAATCCTAAGGACTGGACTCACAGGGAATTCCGACTCTTATTTTTGAATGAAGAGTACTGAGGCTCCAGACTGTCCCTCTTGTCCTCACCCAGGGGGTCAGGGGACAGCTAGACTGGGACCCAGTGCTGGGTGGAGACCTTGGAGCTGCCAGGCTTTGATGGCAGGAGGGGACACGGTGCCTCTTGGGGTTCAGGACATAGACCTGGCCCCCCAGTCCTGGTCAACCTGGGCTGGGTCTGGAGCCTTCCCTGGGAAGGGGATCTTCTTTCCTGGGACCAGAAGAGAGGAGCTGGGGCTTCTCCATCTGGCCGAGTGGAGGGGAGCTCTCCCAGGGCTGGTCCCAACTCAGGAGGAGGGGGAGGGCCCTGCTGATGTCTGCGGTGGCTCCTCCTTCCTGCTGCTCACCACTGGCCTTTCCCTTCCTGGCAGGCGGCTCCTGCAGCTGCGCTGTCTCCTGCACCTGCAGGGCCTGCAGATGCCCCTCCTGCAAGAAGAGTAAGTGTGGGGCCTCCTCTGGGAACCCGGGGTCTGGGCTGAGTCCGAGGAGGGACCCAGAGCTCAGCAGGGAGCAGGACTGACCAGACTTCCCTACATCACCCCCATCCCTCTGCACCAGCACTGAAACAGAATCTGAGCTGAAAGAGCCAGAGAGATGATTCTGTTCCAGCTTCTCATTCTAGAATGGCTAAATAAGTTTGAGAGAGGTCAGCGAATGGGGTCAAGGATGGAAACTAGGCCTAGATCCCAGGTCTCTTGTCTCTGATGTCACCTTGTGAGCCTTCCAGTGTCCTGGACACTTTAGGTTCTTGAACTTGGTGACCAGGTGCGGTGTCTCTGCCCTGGGGGTGCGGTCCTTTGCTGCATGGGCAGCCCAGTCCTTCCCTGACCCCTGGTGAACAGCTGTGGCAGCAGTTTGCCCCTCTCTGAACCTGACCACTTTCCTTACTTCACTGTATGTTTCTGAGGAGTGTGTGCGTGCTTACTTCACTGCCTGTTCGCTTCAGTCATGTCTCTTTGTGACCCTAATGGACTGTAGCCATCCATGCTCCTCTGTCCTTGGGATTCTCCAGTCAAGGATACTGGAGTGGGTTGCCATGCCCTCCTCCAGGGGATCTTCCAAACCCAGGGATGAAACCCACATCTCTTATGTCTCCTGCATTGGCAAAGTGTTCTTTACCACTAGTGCCACCTAGGAAGCCCTCTGAGGAGTGGCAGCTGTCCTTTCACTGCCCCTAAAGGTCCCACCACAGTCCCTAGGCTCTCTGCCCTGTCCTGAACTCAGAGCAATTTTCAGAGTGTCAGAGACGAATTTCTTAGGATAGAGCATACTCTCCTAAGGTCCTCAGGGCCTGGGGTCAGCTTGTGCCAGGCCTGCTGTTGGGAAGGGTGGTTTCACATAATGTTATCTCTCACTGTCACTCCCCCCAGGCTGCTGCTCTTGCTGCCCCGTGGGCTGTGCCAAGTGTGCCCAGGGCTGCGTCTGCAAAGGGGCCTCGGACAAGTGCAGCTGCTGCGCCTGAAGGCGGGGAGAGCCAGCCCCAGGTATCCACAGAGCAACCATGACAAACTTGCATTTCACAATTTTTTCTCACTACCTTGATGCGATACGACATTCTTTTTTTCTATAAAATATATGAATTGTAATAAATCTTGTTGACTCTATTCTGGCTTCTGTTTTTGTTTGCGTGTCTTGCATGGAAATGCAGACTTGGGTTCTGCACCTAACCAGTTGCCCCTAAGACACTGAGTGCTTTAAACAGATCAGGTTACCTCTCTGAGCTTTGGCTTCTCAGGTAAAAGGGGACACATCCTCCAAGTGAATATAAAGGCATTGGGCACATACAGGTCCTCACTGTCCTCATTATTTTAAGTGTCGATGACGGGGAAACTCCTCAATTTCTCATTTTCACTCTGGGCTTCCCCTACCAAAGTTCAGGCCTCAGCATTATTAGGTTTGTAGGTTTTGAAAGTACTCAGACTGGGTGAAATCCGAACCCTAATTGTTTTACTTCTACATAGGGCTTGCTTCTGAAGCACTGCTGAAGGGCCAGTTTTTATTTTCTAATGCTCACAGATTTAAACTTTGGTATATGTACTAAAAAAATTTTAGAGGTCACAGTGTAAAAAAAAACAACCCATTTTTAGATTCAGTACACAGAATTTCATCAATCTATGAAGAACCAATAAGAAAATTTAAGAGTTTTAAATGCTACACATATGTTCGTCGAAGCCATGGATAAGCCTTCCTGGAAGTGCTTCGCTAATGCCCCACTGTGTGGACCACACACACCTGAAGTAGCTCTTGCCCCCACATATCCGCAGGGAACATCAGTCTTGGCTTGCCCAGGGTCACTGACGGGACAGCCACCACCCCTAGCCAGCTTCCTGTGGTGAGTTGGCTTAGAATCTTTGGGAGTTATTCCCTAGGGCAGGCTGAAATCTGTCCCTCTCTCAAAATCCAGCCCTTGGCTACATGAAAGCAGCAAAGTGACTGTGAAAGTGGAAGGAGTCACCACCCAGCTATTTCCCATGAAGAGGGTGTGTACCTGAGAACTGGCTCCAGGTGAAGGACTTCATGTCCACAAGGTGATAGCTATTCCCCAGTTTGGAGGGCGAGGTGGTGGTCATTAGGCTGGAGGGAGGAGCCCAGTGACTTGTTATTTATATCAAAGCTCACTGCCCCTGGCCATTTGTGGAGGGTATTGCCATTATTTTTTTTTAAATGCAGGAATCTTTTAATAGTAAAAGGACACTTAAAGTAAGTTATGTGCGTGCACGTGTGCTCAGGTGGCTCAGCTGTGTCTGACTCTCTGTGAGCCCAGGATCTGTTTTCCCCCCAGGCTCCTTGGTTCATGAAATTTTCCAGGCAAGAATACTGGAGTAGGTTTCCCCTTCCTACTCCAGGGTATTGCTATTTGTTGTACAATCTCCCTCCCCCCCACCGCAAAATAAAACAAACCATAAAACAAGTCACTTGGCCTAGAAGTTAGAACCACACTTGCCCACAGATTTCCTGTGTGAAGAGGGCATGGGTTTTGGTGTCAGGCATCCTGGTTCACAACTACCTGGCCACTATCTGACTTGTGCATGTATTTGATACTGCCTGAGCCTCCATTTTCACATGTGTATAACGGAGATTACATCTCAACGGCAGGGGCATAAATGGGATAGTGGTGATTCCTAGATATGACTTTAGGAAGTGGTCATTATAATCACTTTACCCACAAAATTTTGTGGATATGTGGCGAATCCACTGAGGCCCCAACAAACTCCTAGAAAATGGCTCATGGATTTGGGAGGATTCCCCAGGACTGAGGCTGGGAATGGGTTGGAACCTTGCTGACTGAGTGCCAGGGGAGTGGGGATGCCCTCCAATGACACCCACAGGATAAGACCCTACACAGTGTCAGGAAAGACTCGGAAGACTTTCCCACCCTCATGTCATTTGAGCTGCACAGGAACCAGCGCCAGAATAAATGTGCAGGGGCTGGGGTCATTGTACCATCTTCCAGAGAGGCTAAGCAAGCTGCCCAAGGACACACAGTCAGAAGTCAGAAGACTGAACCTATACTACAGCTGTCTCACCTCCTGGCCACACACTGCTGGTTACAATGTCCCTGGAGGCTGAATCCTGCCTCTCCCTATTCAGAGCTGCAAGGGTGCCCAGAGATGGTCCAGTTATGTTCCTGGCTGGAGAGATGTGAGACTGAGGGCCAGAGAGGTCACAGAGCTATGCAGAGGGTTCTGACTGCCAGTTCAGTGCTCTCCCACGGCTCCTTTCATGCCATGTGTTCTATGTCCTCACCTGTTGTGAGATGTCATGGTGCCCAGTAGGGGGTGAGGGCAAGGGGGCTGCCATCAGCCTGCATGAGTGCCGGTCCCACCTGTGTCACATCCACATGACATAACCTCTGTGCTTCAGTCTCATCTGCTTTAAAAGGCAAAATAATAGTGTCTGGCTCTTAGGATTAAAGAATTGAATATTTGCAAAGAAATTGGAATGAAACCTGGCACACAGTCAGTAATACAGTAATATCAGCTACTCTTATCAGTTGAAGCATAGGATATATTTCTCTACATCCAGACCAACAAGCTGGAGTTGGTGTGCTAGCTGAGTGTTCTCTCTTGTTCTCATCAAATATGGGAGTGGATGACTAGTTTCCCTAAGAGGGTTATGCCACTCTTCCAACAAAAAGGGGCTGGCACTAGGGATATCAAGCCATCAGCAAGACAGTCCGAGTTCTCCTAACAAAATACTGAAGGATTCTTCCATTTCTGCTGTCACCTGCACCAAGATTTTAATTAACATTTTACATACATATAAATTTATTTACATGAAGAGCAAACTCTTTAATGCTATGAAGATCAATTTACTTCTAGACATTGGTGGTAGCCACTAAGACATATATGCATTCCTTTCGTACTACTTCGGCATCCATGATTGAGCTAATGCAGTAGAGAAGTGCTGAACACACACCTCTGGGCCACAGGGAAGCTTCCTCACTGATTCTTTTCCTTAAGAAGAGATAGGAATAGCATTTGGGGCACCATATCCCAGCACTGTGACCTTGGGTTAGTAGCGTCCTTGTACTGGATATACTTTTTGCCTTTGGGAAACAAGCTCCCAAGTAGTATTTCCCTTTACCTGTTAGAATTCAAAGAGGAAAAGTGATGAAACAAGGCTTGGCATAGACTCCCTGGTATGTAATTGTCAAGACTACTCAAAGGGAAATACCCACTGTCTTACTTCGTTATTGAATGCCAGGTCTGCCTATCACTTACAAGGATGCTTTCCCTAGGGGGCATCGTATGACTAGGGAACCTCCATCCTGGAGCCGGGTGGACTGGCTAGGCAGTGGATTCGCTGGGTAAACGTGCCCATTCATCTATTCAGTCGTGGAGAATGTAAGGAAGGCTGGGAGACAAAAGGCTGAGTTCGCTGCTGGGCTGTTACAGGAGAAACTAGAGAAACTCTGTTCAAAGTCCACGGTGGGGGCTGTGGGAAGACATATTAGGAAAGCGGGGTTCAGGGGATTGATGGTGAAGCTCACGTCCTTCACGGGTCTCTGCATACGACACACGGGCTCCAGCCAAACCTGGGATGTGAGCACGAGGCTCGGGTTGCGCACGGGCTCCGGGAAAGGGGGAAAGCAAAGACAAGAGTTGCGGGGGCGGGGAAGGCTGCGAGGACTCAGGGGCTGGGTTCCTGTAAACGCCGGGAACACCGATGGCTGCCCACATCGTGGAAAGCTGGGAAGGGGCGGACAGGAAGCCTGGAGCGCTACTTGTTGCTCCGGACAAAGTCCCTCTGCGTTGGGGGCTAGTAGGGGGAAGGAGGCGTTTCCGTGCGCACGTAGCCCAGCCGCGTTCCAGGAATCTTGCGCTCGGCCGCGCACAGTGCTCACCGCCCGGCCCGGGCGCAGAGGGCGGCGTGGGCGCAGGCGGGGGCAGACCCTCTGCGCCCGGCCCGCCTCCTGTGGGTATAATAGCGCTCGGCTCCTGGGCTCCAGCACGCCTCCCACTGGATCAGTGGATCTGCTTTGCCACTTGCTCTGGACCTCGGACCTCGCCTTTCCTCCAAATGGACCCGAACTGCTCCTGCCCCACTGGTAAGGGTCCCTTGGCGTTGAGCCCTAGGATGCGCGCTTCCAGGCGTAGGACAGAAAGTCCCGGCAGCTAGAGAAGGGAGGATGTGGAGTTTGTGCTCAAGGGGACTTCTGTCATTGGACCAATGGTTTTTCCTAGTCAGGATTATGAGAGCATTTATCTCCCTTTGCCACGCTCCCCCCCCCGCCCTTTTTTGTTGTTTTTAGTTTGTCGTCTTGCACGGGTGCTGGATCTTAGTTCCCCGATCAGGGACGGAACTCCGTGTCTCCCCGCAGTGGCAGCGGGGAGTCTTAACCACGGGGGAAATCCCTGCTTCTTATTGAATTGAATGTACTGAGGTTCCAGCCCATCCTGTCCTCACCCACCTGGTCAGGGGACAGCTCGACCGGGACCCAGTGTTGCGAGGAGGCCTTGGAGCTGCCGGGCCTTGATGGGCGGTGGGGACATGGTGCCTCTTGAGCTCCAGGACAGAGACTTGGCCCCCACCCACAGTCACCCTGGGCTGGGTCTAGAGCCTGGGGCCTTCCCTGGGGAGTAAATCAGGAGGGGACCTACTTTCCTGGAACCGGAAGAGAGAAGCTGGAGCTTCTCTATCTGCCTGAGTGGACTGGGCGCTCCAGCGTTGGTCCTGACGCATGAGGACGGGAAGGGGGCCTGCTGATGGAGCCCTCCCCGCCCTGCTCACCGCTGGCCTTTCCCTCCCCAGCAGGCGGCTCCTGCAGCTGCGCCGGCTCCTGCACCTGCAAGGCCTGCAGATGTCTCTCCTGCAAGAAGAGTGAGTGTGGCCCCTTCTCTGCGAACCTGGGGTCTGGGCTGAGGAGGGACCCAGAGCTCAGCAGGCAGGAGCAGGACACTGACCACCCTTCCCTACATGTCCTGTGCCCGCCCGCCACCCTCAGCACTGAAACAGATT